GGAGAGGGAGAGAGAGGGAGAAACGTGTTCACGAATCGATGGTGCATGTGCACCGACGACGGTAGAGGTGACGGGTCGTTGGGCCAGGTCTCAAACGGCGTGGGGTGGCTAAGAGGGGTGGGGAGTGGCTCGCGGAGGGGCCCAGCATCTGCTCCATACAACAACGCAACGCGCGGTGTAACAGAGCGCAAAGAGAAAAAGACGAGGACGGTTGATCGCGTCGGAGAAAGAGACGGTCGGTGAAAAAGGGGGAAAGAGAGGTGGGAAAAGGGGGAGCAAGAGAGAACAAGAGGGAGGGAGAAAGAGAGAGAAAGAGAGAGAGAGAGAGAGAGAGAGAGAGAGTGAGAGAAGTTTGAGCGCAGAGAGGAGCGCAGCAGGATAATCGCGTCGCACTCACGAACATCCTGCACCTCCTGTTGTTGCATAGAAAGCCGTGGTGGGGGACTACGCGAGCCGGCGGAACAGATGCCTGCGCTCCGATTGGACGATGGCCCGCGACCGGCCGTCCCCTATTGGCGCGCAGCGCGGGGCCCGCGGGCCTGCATTGGTCGGACAGCACGTGCGGGCCACCTGCACCTGGCCGGTGGGGTGACCTGTTATAAAAGGCCCTGGCGCACCCCCCTGCCAGTCAGAGACCGGCTTGCAGCCGAACCGTTTTCAGAGTTACGAGTTCGTAGGTTCCCCTATCAACGAGAGCCCCCCTGTTCGGTTCCTTTAACCCCGGTCCCGGTCGAACAGTCAGTTCAGTTCAGATCCGACCATCGTACCGTGTGGATCGTTCGACAGTGTGCTCGCCTGCGATACGTTCTTGTGGATTTTCGACGCGCTGCCAAGAAGAAGAAGAAGAAAACACAGGACTTTTTAATAATTGTTTCGCATACATGTGTGACGCAAGTGCAGTGAAGTCTCTCTGGGATTTACTTTGACAATCGTCGCCGTTTCTCGACTGAAGAGATTCTGTGATCACGTATATCAGTGCGTTCATTCTTGAAAAAACTGTAACAGACTCCGGCAACCGCAACAATTGGATTACGAACTGCGGTTGCGCCTTCGCGGTGTCCCGTGCCTGCGAAGAGCCGACTTTGATTCGAAGTTCCGCGGACGCGTGCGAGACCGTCAACAATGCTCGTCGACGAGATGCCGCGAAGCTTCGTGAAGAAGAACAACAGCTACAGCCACTGCCCGCTGAAAAAGCGGCCGGTGCATGTACTGCCGTCCGAGGAAGTCACCGAAACGATCAAAGGTGAGTCTCGACAGCCCCGAAAATCGTTCGCGAGAAATTTCCCCCACGAAATAATTGCGCGGAGTTACGATAACATTCCGGGCGAAGAACTTGATCGCGTAAAGTATTCCCGTCGTTCGGTGTTCCTCGTAGTTTCGCATGAACAGAGAGCCTAATCGGTGATCTAAATTCGAAGTACGCAAAGAACGTGTAAACCGCGCAAAGCTTTTCCTCCGTGGAAGCATTTCAGTAGAATTTCGTTGAAAATCGAGCCAGTTCCGAAACGCGAGAATTCGTCGGAATCGCATTCTAAACGAAGACAATTCTTTTCTCTTGCAGAAGAGATAATCGACGTCGTGGTGGACGACATCCCGGAGCCGGAGAATCTCAGCACAAAGCCCGAGGATCTGAGCCGGAACGCGGAGCGCCAGCAGCCGCAGCCGGCCGCGTCACGTTCTCCGTCACCTGTCATCAAAGTCTCCCAGTCTCCGCCGTTGGCGACGCAACCCGCGTCCCCGACGATGCACCACGTTCACCCGGTGCACCATCTGCACCAGCACTATCCGACGAAGGCGGTGACACCGCCGGTCGGGATCGCTCCGATTCACCCGGTGGCGAAGAAGGCCCGCGTGGAGGTGATCCAGCACGAGAACTCGACGGCGTCGCCGGTGACGGTGGCGTCGGCGCCGTTGCATTTCATGGCCAGCAAGGCGCCGCTGGAGCCTCTGAACCTAAACACGCCCGTAGAGCCTTTGGCACACTACCCGACGCCAGCATGGGCTCGCACGGCTCCTCTGTACCCGCCGCACTATCTGCCTTATCCGGCGGCTTATCACCGTTATCACCACGCGGGCGCGGACCTGTACCCGTCTTATCCGATGCCGGCGTATCCGCACTCGTCGCCGGAGCATCATCCGTCAGTGTCTCCGCCGCCACATAGTTCCCTGACCTGTCCAACGATCCAGAGACCGATCGCCAGGAGCTACGCGCACTGGGCCAGCAGTCCCGATCATTGCGGCCTGTCGCCCACCAGCTCCCTGGGCTCGGGCTCGCTGAGGTCGCCGCCGCCGGTCACCCCGGAAGACTTGTCCTCGCCAGGAAGCGACAGCGGAAGGTCATCGGCGGGAAGCACGTCGACAGGGCCGACGATCGTGAACCCGAAGATCGAGAAGACAGTGACCAGTGGTTCGACCGTGTCCCTCTCGTCCACCTCGTCCTCCTCCTCCTCGTCGTCGTCGTCGACGTCGCCGAGGTACCAGTGTCCGGACTGTGGCAAATCGTACTCCACCTATTCAGGCCTGTCCAAGCACCAGCAGTTCCACTGCGCGGCTGCCGAGGGCCAGGCCAAGAAGTCGTTCTCGTGCAAGTACTGCGAGAAGGTTTACGTCAGCCTGGGCGCGCTCAAGATGCACATCAGGACGCACACGTTGCCCTGCAAGTGTCATCTCTGCGGCAAGGCGTTCTCCAGGCCGTGGCTGCTGCAAGGACACATCAGAACTCACACCGGTGAGAAGCCGTTCAGCTGTCAGCACTGTAATCGCGCCTTCGCTGACAGGAGTAACTTGAGGGCGCACCTCCAGACGCACAGTGACGTTAAGAAGTACTCGTGCACCTCGTGCAGCAAGACCTTCAGCAGGATGTCCCTGCTGACGAAGCACCAGGAAGGTGGCTGTCCAGGGGTCGCGGTCCCGATCGGCTACGGTTGCTGAAGCGGTCCACGGTCGGGGAAAATACGTCACTGTTTTCCTTGCTACGTACGTTCCTCGTTTCTGTAGTCTCTTCGTCCTCTTTCGATCCGCTGAGAAGTGCCTTATAGATCCGGAGTACAAACGATTTAGAAAGTAGGAGGGGTCCGGGGGGAAGGGGCACGCAGGCCGGGTCCAGTTTCTCGGTTACAGTCTCATCCGGACGGGGAGAATCGTCGTCGGAGCAGTACCTGGCTTTCGATTAAAATTCATGTCCTCTCTATGCGATTGAATTTTAAACGAGATCGATATGCGACCGAGCAACTGGACTCCTCCCTCGCCGCCCCCGAGGGGAGAAAGGGTCACCGGGAGGAGGAACACCGTGGCGGCGGTCGGGAAGATATCTCGATCGGACCTACCGATGGTTGTGCATATTACTCCTTTTTTTACTTTGTTTCTTTTTTTTTCTATTTTTTCTTCTTCTTCTTCTTTTTGATGTATACTCCACCGCCGAAAGAAAACCCTTTCTTCTCCACCCGTTGGCTGCGCTGTAAATAGATTCGGGTTGTGTGCGTGCGACGTGCAGCGAGAATCAGGGTACGACTGTACTTAGAACCGGTGCGCCCCTTTCCGCGGGCTCGACGGGGAAAAGCTTCTTTCTGGTTCGCGAGTGGCCATTATTCGGGGGAAAAAAAGTCGAGGCGAAGCGACCGCTTGACGCGGTCCCGTGAAACTTGCCGTGCCATTTTTTTTCCATATTTTCCGCAAGATCGTTTCGTTTCGTTCCGTTCCGTTCCGTTCCGTTCCGTTTCGTTTCGTTTCCTCTCCGAGCTCGGAAATGATCATCGTTCTCCCTCGGTTTTGTAGGTTTTCTTTTTTGTTTTGTTGTTCGAAGCGTGCGTCGACACCCGTGCACCAAAGTGCCATTTTTCTTCTGTTCGGAACGACTGTAAATAGCATCTCGCGACGTAGCTGTCAAGGCGCGCACGAAACGAAGTATTACGATTTCGCCATAAACGAGACACAGAGAGAAAGAGAGAGAGAGAGAGAGAGAGAGAGAGAGAGAGAGAGAAATAGTGTGTGAGAGAGAAAAGTATTTAATGATCGTCCGATGCCTGAATGTTACGTTTCCTTTTTCTGTTTCTTTTTTTTCCTTTTTAATTTTATTCCGTTTGACGTGCTTGGACACGCTAGCGCGATGTTGCGAGAGAGAATGAGAGAATGGTAATCCTACGTTTCTTTTTGCCTTTCCGTTTTGTACTTTTCTATGCGGTTTTTTTGTAAATCACTGTAAGTTACTCGAAGAAACTAGTCATTGTACAATAATGAACGTTGCGAGAAATTACCGAGAGATTCGCTGCGAGGAGGATATTCTTGACTCCGACCTGGTCTTTTGCTGTTCTTCGCGGGGGAGTCACTCGAAAAAAGATTATATTAATTAATTAACGAAATCGAGCCGGTGCCGCGTGAACCGTGTAAACTGTCCGCGTGTAATTAATTTTTTGTACGGCGCACGGCTCAGGGCGAGTACCACTCTTTCTAGTTCTTTTTTTTGTAAAGAAAGTGAACTACTATTTGAGATACAGATATCACCTATATATAGAGATATTTTATACGAAATAAATTACTTGGAGTTTAAACCTTACATTTGTCTTCGTGATTCGCTCGATCCTAAACAACCTGCTATACTCCCTCCGTCATTCCACAGATCAAAATTATTCTATTCGTCGTTTCCAAAGAATCATTTCCAAAAATTCTTATAGAATCATCTAAAAAAAAACCGTTTCCAAAGATTCGTTTTCATACAATTATTTCCAAAGTATCATTTCCGAGCAGAAAATCAGTTCTCAATCTACGAAAACGTTCCGATAAATTTAGCAATCAGAGGAATAGCTGCATCATTCATTTGAATCGATTTAAATTCGTGCGATAAATGTAAGTTTAATTTTCAATCGAATGTTTAAGAGAGCCGCGATTCTCGTATTCAGTTCATTCAATTCTCAAAGGAAGTCTTTTTTTAGTATCTCACTGTCGCACGATCCAAAGAAACTTTGCATCTGATTAGAATAAGAAAGCGCGAGTCCATTTTGTCTTTCCGGGCAGCCGTCTTTAATTCTATTTCGGTACGAAACATTCGAATTCTTCTAAAGTATGTAGTTGATTGAAGTTCTTTTTATAGTAGCCGGTGTAGTAATCCATTATTTCTGAGAGCAATGAGCGAAGGTGTAATCAATTCTCTCGCACGATGAACGCAACAGGTGGTTTGAGAAAAATATACCTGAAGTGTCCCTCGAGATTAATACAATCGGCGCGAATGGACGTATTTATCATTAGACTGCGCATTTTATGGTTTTAGGAAGCGTCTATGTATTGTATTTGTTTTATTGAAATCGTTGAAGTGAGAGCAATATTGTACGCGGTTTCTGTGTCTCGCAATCAACGAAGACAATTTCTGTCTTGCATGAAAACTCGCAGTCTGTCGGATTCAACAGGTGCTGTTCTTTTTTTTTCTTAATAATTTCCCAGATTTACAACACTCAAGAATTTCAATGTACTAGTTTCAGTTCATTAAAAATATCTATCAACAAAATAACGAATTTTTAATTTGGTTAGAATTTCTTGTTCCACAAGCTTTTGTAATTGAAGCGTCGATTAGAAAACCTAAGATGTATGAATCATGCGAACGCGTTCTATAGGTTCTACAATTTCTTGCAGCTTTAATTTTGCATGAAGATACGCAGTCTATCGCGTTCAACAGGTACTGTTTCATTTCACTTTAATATAATTTGTCATATTAACAAATTCAAGAATGTCAATGCACTAGTCTCAGTTCACTAAAAATATTTATCAACAGAACAACGAATTTTTAACTTGGTTCCAATTTCTTGTTCCACAAACTTTTGTAACTGGAGCGTCGATTATCGTAACCTGAAACGTCTGAATTATGCGAACACGTTAATTTTGCATGAAGATGCGCAATCTATTGTGTACAACAGGTACTGTTTCACTTTATTATAATTTGTCAAATTAACAAAATTCAAGAATGTCAATGCACCATTTTCAGTTCATTAAAAAAATATCTATCAACAGAACAACGAATTTTTAACTTGGTTCCAATTTCTTGTTCCACAAGCTTTTGTAACTGGAGCGTCGATTATCGTAACCTGAAACGTTTGAATTACGCGAACACGTTAATTTTGCATGAAGATGCGCAGTCTATCGTGTTGAACAGGTACTGTTTCACTTTCCTCTAATTTGCCAAATTAACAAAATTCAAGACTGTCAATGCACTAGTTTCAACTTATTAGAAATACCTATTACAATAATAATAAATTTATAATCCAGCTGCATCTACTTATCGCGAAAGCTCCGCGGAGCCTCGCGTTGCGCATGTTCCGCAGTTCCTCGCACTTTTAATTTCGCGGCGGCAGTGTTATGATCGTCGGCCCCGGATTAACATATCAAAAGGCGAGGCGAGAAATAAAACGTCGACGAGGTGGAATCGATTCCCGATTTTTCTGCGGGTCGTGCTCGTTACGGTCGCGCGACGTAATTAATGAAGGACCGATCAGTCGGTTGGCCGATAAGGAATCAATCGGTCGAAAATGTATGGAGGTCGGCCGGCACGGCGAAGGCGGAGAGATGTAATCGGCGGACACCTCGAATATCGGCGGCGAGGCAGCTCGTTATCGGTCGGCCGCGGAACAACGCATAACTTTCGTCGACGTGCATAATAACGCGCTTTGTCTTTCGACAAACAACGGCTCGGCTGCGGCCGGTTTATCTCTCCATCCGAGGCGATCGGGGGCCCCGTTTGCCGATCGTTGTTGCCCGCTGCCTCCTCGAGGGGCCCCGAGGGGGCACTCCGTGCTCACGATAAAAGTAATTGTTGGTGGCCAGACCCGGTTCGAGACGAATCGATTCGATTCGAGGCAAGATCCGACGGACAAGCGGACCACGGCCAGCACGCTCGGCTATCGAGCACCGGTGCGCGCACGCCGCGATCGTTCTGGAGAACCGTTCCCCGGAGTAATTATACTCCGAGGCGACAGATTTGCCGTGTTAACGATAGATAAATCTATCGAGTCGCCGGGGCCCGACGGTTTTTCTGGCACGATCGTGCCCGCTCGCGTGGTCAGATGTGTTCCGGAGGCAGTTTCGAGACCTTTGCACGTGGTATTTTAGAGCGGCTCTTTTTATTCGTCGCCACGGGTTGCGTGGAAATGTCAGGCCTACGAGAGAAGGACCTGCCTGCGCTCGCCTCGCAACGAGAAGCGTGCTGATAATACGATTTTTCGATGCGTTGCGGACTTCTACTCGCTCCTGGACCGTCGTGACTGGGCTACGGATTTTATAAATTTATGACAAAAGTGAATAGATGGAATTCAAAACGGTGGAAACGTTTCAACAATTTGTGGATACTGGAAGAAGAGAATAACTTTTTGTACGAATAGTTATATAGTAATAATTCCTTACTCGATTTTTGTTTAAATAAAAATTTTCAGAAAATAGTGATTTGCGAAGTAGAAAGTCTGTTCTTTAAAATGAGCATAGGTAGAATGTTGAAAGATTTTTCTACACGAAGTTATAAACATTCAATGATCAGCGATGTATAATTACTAGAACAATAGTAACTACACTGCGGATAATCATGCGAAGTAAAAATTGTCAAAGTTAATTGTAAGAAACATAAACTAGATAAGAATATGTTTCCTTCTTTAATATTTGTAAAAAGTTGCAAATATAATGTAAGAACATCCTTAAACTCTTACAATGGATCTATGGTCTTTTATTGGATTTGTTCATATCTGTCATAATTTGTTATTTTTCGATTTGGGTGTGAAATCGCGAGACAGTACTATTTATTCTGCAGACGTGTCCTAAGAATTAAATTAAAAACGATACAAAAAGAAAAGCAAAAAGAGAAAATACAAAACTTGTAACCTTTCACAAATTTTTTAAAATCACTTTCTTTTCGTTAAATTTTAAAAAATATCTAGGACGTTGCCACGGTTGGGGGGTTAATCGATAACAGAAAAACCATGATGTTGTTCTGAGCCAACACAATGCAAACATCGTGGTCCCAAGAGGATCAAGCCGAGCGGACAGGACCCAATAAGATTATTTTACTCGAAATTGCAGGAGTTCAAAGATCAGCAATTTCCCGCGATAACTCGATGATCCCCTAATTTTGCGGAGTAGCACGCGAGTACAGTGCCGAGCCTGAGATATCTCGTTTCACCCCGGTTCATTCAGCAAGCGTCAGAACGCGCGCGAACGCACAATGGTCTTTTAGCGAGGCAAACAACATATGGCGTGCAAACGCGTGTTCGGAACGCGTCCAATTCATTGGCCCGCGATGGGCTACCTGCTCCGCGTATTAAGTCCCACGCGCTTTCGCCACGAACAACCGGCGATTCTACCAACAAGCTTTTTCGGGCTTTTTGTTCGGCGTTGGTCTCGCCCATATGGGCCACCGATGGAACGGTCTAATTCCCCCTCGTCACTCTGTATCACCCCGTCAAATATTTGCCCGCCGGTTTCTCGTTAAACGTGCATTTATACGTCGCGCTGCTTCCACTCGCTGTCGATTAAGATCGATCGATCGGGCCCCGTTGTAATCCTCTCCAAAGTCTCGACGGTGTCTCTCTAATGCCGAAATCGATGCGACAGCGCCCAAAATCGTCGGTGAAAGCAAAGGTGGGCGGGAACCACGTGTCCCACGTGTATTTGGTAGCGAAATTTTCGACGCTTTTTATGGTTACGGTTGGTGCCTCGTTCGAGGCATTCAATTTTTGGGAACAGTGCTCGCTGTAAATGGGTTCATTGCATCTATTTCTGTGATTTTTAACCCTTGACCGGGTTGTGATGGCCGCGGCAACAAGTTATTATTAATATTCGTTCATGTAATACTCTATTAACTCGTCGCGGTTGCAATGTATCAACGTAAATTGTCTTGCACTTATTAATTAGGAAATATGCATATTTAAAATAAAATACAAAATATTGGTTCAATTATTTACTATGAAAGAGTCTTTTTATAATTTCAACGTCTTTAAAATAAAAAATGTGAAACTAGTCACTTCGACTGGCTAGACAGGTTTAACGTTGAGATCCAATTTTATTTAAACACAATTTACACGATATTAATGAATTATTATGTCGGTGTTGCAATAATGAAAGGAGGCTTGAAGAATTAGCTTAAAATATTTCTTATCTCTATTCTGGAAATATTTTCAAATTTATCGAAATTGAAGAACCTGCAATATTGTGGTGCAATTATTCTGTCTTAAATTCTAGAGCCTTTTTTTATGCAGCTTTCACATGTGATACAGAGAATTGTACTGCAATTTTTATACTCATTAAATCATTTCTATATTTTGTTTTATTTGCATTCCTAGAAGCATATCGCAATTTTTATATACTTTAATCATTCATTTTTATATTTTGTTTTACTTGTGTTCCTATAATCATATCGCAATGTTTACACTTTAATAATTCATTTATTTATCATATTATATATTATATTATATAATTCATCATACTTCGTTCCACTCGCCTATCTAAAATCGTATTGCAACTTTTATATTCCGATAAAATAGCATTTCTTCCTCGTCTTTCACACAATAACAGCTTCTTCCGCAT